CCTGTTACTCTGTGCCTTTGAGTGCAGACAGAAGTGACAATTTTTGCCCGATCTGAGCACAAACAGCAGTCTATAGCCATGACCAAACAAGTGCATGGCTGCAGACCACTTCAAAAATGGATAAACAATCAAAAATCTAAACCCTCATTGCATGAGGGGTCAGATGAAGACATTTCAAACATAGCATCTTCTGTAACTTCTGTCTGCGCTGTTTGAGACCAATAGATGAGCAGAGTATAGGACTGGTATAAAAAGTGAAATGTCATGGACACGATAATGTTGTACAAGGAAGGAAGGCACTTGGTCCCTATTTTCTGATAAACAGTAATTTGTTTTGTCAATGTTAAAAATGGCATAAATGTAGTGGAGACTTACAGAAATGTTCACAGCACAGGGATGTCTCCAGCACTTGCATAGTTGGAATAATGCAAGAAGTAAGAAAAAATTGTGCATGCTCTTTGCAAAAGCCAGGAAAAACTGGAGCTTAATTTCCTTCCCCCGTATACCAAGACAGTGTGAAGGCCGGCAGCTCCAAGAGCTATAGATATTTGGTATCTTTGAAAAATCAATCTCTTGTTGACTCTGCATACAGGAGCTGCTCCCTTTCAGAGAGATGCATCCAAGAATCCATTTACCACACAAGCTGTAAGTTTTGCTGCACCTACAAAACCCAAAAGCAATGTTGTATATGCTTGAGCACCATCTACTGGCACTGAATTTGTTCACTAACTCCATTTATAGAAGCATCATTTTCACTTTGATAAAATTTTCAATAGATTTTTTTTTTTTGCCAAAAGTATTTAAGTATGGAGAATTTGGGGTAGAAATTCTGTTTGGTTACATTTCTTCTGACGAAAAAAAAAAAAAAAAAAAAGAGCACCTCAAGGGAAAGCAGACACTTTCCACAAAAATGTTCATGTAATCCTAAATCCAATTATTCACTGACTAAAGTTTCAACAGAAAACTTTCACCCAGACTTGTTATTTGCATTCCCCCATTCGAGTTTTTTTTATAGAACTGGAGGAGAGATCTCAGGATCCTCTGGCCTACAGTGTATAGATTAAAACTAATGCCCATCACCAACCAGCTTCTCAGAAACCTGATTTATTGAATGGAATTCACTGAGAATTTCCTGACAGCAAAGGTTTACATAAAAAAATCCCAGTTTGTCAAAATTATTATTATTTAAATATTGGTTCCAAGAAAATGCAGGCAGGGTTTTGTCCTACCTGGTTTCCTGACAGTTAATCTCATGGCCTATTCAGGACACCAAGGTTTCCAAGATCTATGGTTCTGGGGCAATCCTGCATACAAACTGGCCCAGGGCCAAGGACCCCACAGCTCTTGGACCTTCTAGTTTTCTGGATGTAGAATTGGGAGCCTGAAAGACCTCAGAGCCCCAGTCCTGGCAGGAATTTAGTTCCTGGCCCTGCAACATGGAATTTCAAAGCCCTTGGAACTTGAATAGGAGCTCCCAAGTCCTCCCAATTTCTGCTAGAACCAGACGCCTATCAGCCCAAGGTTGAGATGAAAGCCCAAGTTTCAGCGTTCAGCACCTAATTAATTTTGAAATGTTCTAAATTAAATGTGTCCAAAGTAATATTTTTGGAGTTTCTGTTCCAGAGGAAATCTTTAAAGAGAAGGTTCAGTTGGTTTTAGAAATTTTTTTTTTTTACTTTGAAATCTGTCCCATGGAAAATTCGGAATTACCTTTATCATTGACCACCATCACCACCACACACACACACACTCACATGCACGCACGATCTATTTTGGAGCTATAACAATTTCAGCAACTGCTTTCAGTGGGCCTAACAACTTCTGTATTTGATCAGCTTGACTCCCAGAAGTATCACTTTACTTAGCATAAATTATTAATTTATTACAAGGGGACAGAGGAATAATTCAGGTGGATAAAGACATCAGCTATGAACTGAGGGGATGCTGGAGACTCTTGCATCCGGAGACTGCCTAAGTGAGCATTTACAGATGAAAGGAGTTGGAAAACAGACCAAAATCAAAAGTACAGATTCAACTCCTGCACTTGGAGGTGCTTAAAATATCTTATTTTTGAGGCTTTGGCCATCTCTAAATTAGTAACTGGGAGCCCAAACCTCAGGTGCTATAAATATACCTAATCCATTGCCTTGATTGGAGCAGCTGAAACCTTGATCCAGAAGGTTTCTTTTCAGATTTCTACTTCTCTGAATAATTCAGATGTTGAACCTCAGTGACCAGAAAACTGTGGTTTGCTGAGCCACCAAAGCCTTTTTTACAGGATGCAGTCCTTTCCGTTTTTGTGTCCTTCTGCTATGGCCTTGAACTTGCAATCTCTGGGCTATCAACCCCAGCCCCTCATAGGATTCAGTGAATTAAAGGAAGAAAAAAAACCTCTTTACACAAAAATGAAGAGAAGACATTGATGGGGACAAAAAAAAATGCACTTGCCTTTTTTATTTTCCCTTTGCAAAAAAAAAGGAATAGAAGCAGCAGATGATTGTGTTAGGGAAGGTAAATGTCTGAAAGTTGGCAATTTGGCTCCCAGGGCTGTGTAGAATTTCACTATTTGGATTGGGGAAGTTTGCATATGTTAACAACACCTGCAAGACTTTTTCCATGGATAAAGTTTGCTAATAGTATAGGGCTGAAAATAACTCTTCTCCTTCCATAGCAGCTTCAGAAGGTAACATGGACATTTACCTTGGTTGTTTCTGTTTCTGGCTAGAGTCGCCCAGCTCAAGCCCACAGTGGATAGAAAGAGGAAAGAAGTCTATCCCTTTCTAGTATGCCTTTTCAGGGGTTTCCCGAAATTACTGAACTTGGCTTTTAATTCTGGGGTTCACTGCACTTTGTACCCAATCCTAGGTTGTGAAACAGGATGCTACACTTGCAACTTCCCCATTCTGATTTCTGAGGTCTGTGATCCCCAAAACAAGCTAGAGTAGTCCTAAGGCTTCCTTAAATTTTCACTGGTTTATAGTAGCTTCCAAAATCACCAGAGCTCAGCATTGTTTGGGCTGTTCCCCATACCCTGCTTTGTGCCATGAGCATAAGAAGGGTGTGGGGGAGGAGGAAGGGAGCACAGAACTGCTCTGATGTACCTCATGGGGATCTTGCAATGCTGAAAGGAACCTGCTTTGCCTGGTTACAGGATCTTGTTAACCTATTTGCTGCTGTAGAGCAGTGCAACATGACTGAATCACAGCTAGGTATCTGGCCCCTTGAGCACAATAATTACTGAAGGCAGGTTCTGACATAAATGTACTGTGGCTGGGGTCAGGCTGATTAAGACAGACAAACATCATCAGCTGCACTGTAGTCACTTATAGATTCAGGTTGGCCCAGCAGAGTCACTAATGTCCTGTGTCTGAGCAGAGATGTTAAATAAGAGATCTCAAGAGAGAAGGATAATGCCAATGACCAAAAAATGAACTGTTCAGAGATTATATTTGTGTGCAATTTTGTGATGTAGAGCAGGGGGGCTTCAAGAGTAAATTATGTTCACTGTATCTTCCCAACTCCAGAAAAGCCTAAAGCTCTCTTGAGGATCCACAAAACCTCTGATCTACTAGAGCTGTCAGAATAAGGGAAAATCTAAGTGAAATACTGCCATCAAGTGCTCAGTATGCATTAGCACAGAATAAATTGCATTTAAGGTACATAGAAGCATAGTAGCTCTGAATGCTAACATGCATATTTATTCAGTACATGATGCAAAAAGCAAGTTCAAGAACATAGACTAATTGTTCTCTTTCATAGGTAGCTTTAGTGACACTTTAAATCAGCAGAATTATGAGGCACTCACAGGGTAAGTGAGGTTGGAATTTCATTCTATGAGTGTGCATCTGCACATACGAAGTCTGTTCTATACAAAGTCTCTAGACTATGCAAGAAGGTATATCAGATCCACTTACTTGATTCAAAATTGAAACACCAGTGAGCATAGCAGCCCTCAGTATTGGAAAGAGAGCACCCTCTACCAAGTACAATTTAAAAGCATGTTAATGCACTGCATCCCCTAAGCAACAGCTTCCAGATGGGCTCCTTCACATAAGCCGGTATAAGTGATCAGAAACCAGTTCAAATCTGTACATTCAGTGCACATAAACTGCTTTCAGAATGGCTGAAACTGGTTTAAGATAAACCTGGATAGATGCAGTATCAGACTTAACTGATTTAAGTTAAATCAGTATATTGAATTTCTGTCCCAGATCCCCTCCAGATTCAAGTTAATTTACAGTTCCTCAGCACCCCAGGATGCTTTGGACCTCCCCTCCCCTCCCCCCAGGGTGGACCAGGTAGCTTTGGCTGTCTGCTCCAGGGGAGCTCCAGGGGAGCTGTCTGCTCCAGGGGAACAGGGAGGTATGCTCTAGAGTCCCCAAGCTCCTGGCTTGGGCCACTGCAAGGCATGTGGCTACATTTCCAAAATCAAAAGTGAATGTCTCTTCACTTGCTTATTGGTTCAATCTACTGAGTTTAGACTAAACTGTGGAGATTGATTCCATTCAGCCTCAGGCTTTTTGACTGTCTGTACTTAGCCCTAAAGACAATTTAAAGCAGTCATCCCCAGCAAGACTCCTGCAAAGGGTGGAGATAGAAACACTACCTACACTCCACCAGGTGTGCATCCCTCTGGCCACAGCAGTACCTATTGAGAAAGAGGAGGGTTTAAATTACCCAAAGAGCAGGGGGATATTATTACTGAACACTTTTTTCTCTCTCACTTTATTATCCTTGTTACCGGTTTGCACAGAAGGTGACCAAAACCTGCTCCTGTGCTCTCTCTTTTTTTATATATATATTAACATGCAGTATTTTTCTATTCATATAATTTATTTTCTTCAACTTCATTTTTATAGTCTAGCCCAGCCCATTCCACTCCTCACATCAGCAGGTGCAGGAGAGACAGGTCAGTTTTCACCAGCCAGTCCAGTCCAGTTCTTTTAATCTATGTAGGTTGTTAACTTGCAAGGTTGCTTTTTCAGGCCTTGTTACACTGCAAAGGGTCTTCCAGCTGTCTGGGCTCCTGAAAGAGGACTTATTTGGGCAGCCTTTTATCCAGCATTCCCAGAATGTGATCAAGGTAAGGCCACCTTCTTGCCTTTACTATCAGTGCAGTTGTTGGTGATTTTGCCCATTTTCAAGATCTCAGTAACTTCATATTCTAGCAGCTTTAGTTTGCCAGTTATTCAACCAGCTTAACTTCCTTTGAGGAGGGAAAGCAAATTAGAAAGTTAAGGCAAAAGTCAGATAATACAGGGCCTTTTAGATTATGAAGCAAAATAATAGGAAAAATGCTATGAAGGGCCTACAGGTGAGGGCTAAGTGCCTGGATAGGTTGTGGGAAG